ATACAGTTTTATCGTTTTCGTAACTGTTATAGTCGCGTTGACGACCAACGACGTCAACTTTTTCAAATTTTCTACATGTGCAATGATAATTTGCAGGAAAATACACGAATTCATCGCGTGTTACGTAAGATCCGCTCGATTAGTACCTAAAGAAGGAACGTATTAGTCGATATCTTTATTCTCAGAATTATGATTTTTATCAATTCGACGTTGATAAGCAATTATGCGAGCGTGTACCTTATCGTCATGTGTTTCCAGCATTTTATAACAACATCTAAATCTGTACGAACCATGTATCGTTCGTGGATCGATATAATAGTGCTTCAAGGCGTTTTGTATTATTAAAAAGCTCACAGTATCGCTCGTGGAGTAGATAAGTAGAGTTTTTCGAAGATACACTTTACCTGTTTAATCGCGTACTTCTAGATAAATTTTTTCAATAACTTCAATTTCCTCGCTTCTTTTCCAGAATAACAGTTCCTGTTTTACGCGCGAAGTTTCGTAAAACACGTGTGTTTGGATAATAGTCATTAGCCATGAAATATTTCAATTAGACAAAAACCACCTGCGTTATGTTTGTCATGTTCGACTGAATTTTAATCGAAGATCATGATGCGCGTTATGCGTCCTTATCATCGACACTACCAATTTTGTTCTTACACAATATTATTTGTACTGTGGCAAGCACGATAGGCATCCCTAGGGAAGTTTACACAATCGAAAGTGGTGGGTGGTTCCTCCTCCTACACGCTTATCGAAAGAAAGCCCACGTACCTAGGTACACCAATTTTTAAAACACCATTCGATTACGTAAAAGCAAAGTACCATTTATGTTAATTCGAAGTTTACAGTTTGACGAAAATAACTACACCTATACAATGATTGGATTTTAACGAATAATCAGTTGTATCAACAGTGTTCACGTGGACGGAAGTTGACGGTATTCTAATAATCCGTTGACAAAGAAGCACATTTACAAAACCGTGCCGCGTTTCCTCGAGTGATATAGTTGGCACGAAACAGTGTTTCGTTCTATGGAATAAATTCAGTGAGCTGAAAAGGGGAAAAATGATCGTTACCGACGGCTGGAAACCAACGAGAACGAAATCTATTATTATCAATCGAATAGAAACACAGAAGCTATCGTAGTTTTCGTGATATGTACACAAGTTTATCGAGACGCCCTGTAGATACGTGAGAACCGAACAAGAATTCCAGAGGGTGAGCAAGTGAAACGAGCTGGAGCGATCAACCTGTTCCTGCAGTTTACTAGCATTTTTTTGACCATCTACCTACCTGCCCTTTGTAATCGTTTCGTAGAAAAAATTGACTCTAGGACTCTAGCTCCAAGCTCTACTTTTCCACCGAATATTTAAGATCCAATTCGTAACGACGATGGAATTTCACGTTATTTATCCGAGACTAATATTTCCAGTGTTATCGAATTCGTTGCAAAGAATAGTTTTCATTGCATTCGTCCTCAGAAAGCAATTGTTGGCTCGACTGCGATTTCACCATCGGTATTAATTCGTCGAGAAGTCATACGGGAATGGTCGAGGGTATCGTAGCTCAGCAATTTCCTTCGACAGTTATTTCGCTGGTTCAGCCGGTTCGTGTCAGTGCCTTCGCGAAATCCTGACGATCTATGGTTACTAACCGACAATTTCCGGCTCGACGTTGCGACAAACCATTTTTCTTTTGTTCACGGCATAATCTACTCTCTTATCCTTCTCATGGCTGTTACATACACTTCTTTCGTATAAAAAGTTGTCGAATAAAAATCTGATTCAAAAACATTTTCTTTCTTACTACTGCATATTGAATTTGTCTAAAGTATAACGCTCTTTAAAAATGTAAAACTTTTTACATGGAACTGCACGTGTTTATTAAAAGTACATGGATCATCTGAAATGAGTTGTTAAGATTATAGATAGCTCATCTGTGCAAATTACATAAGAGACAGTTACGAATATCCTTCGTTCGTTTTTAATCATCGTTCCATGCTCGAAGCCTGGAATCTCTCAGCGCCATCGAGAACGAATCCAACAAGCATGGAAATAAAATGCACAGTTTCTATAATCCGTGAAATTCAGAGAAAACACCTGAAATCAAACCTGTTTCTAAATATAGATAAACAGGAAAACGATTCTGTAGTTATGACAAACTGACCTTCCAGTCTAACAGTCAGTTCACCGCCATTAAACTTGAATGCATCGAGCGTGTAGAGAAATCGAGTCACGGCCATTGAACGAACTAAAATTGACCTTTTCATCGCGATAAAAATTTAAATAAAAAATAAACGATACCAGCATCGAGATTTTTCTCGCTTTTACATCGTGATTCGTTTTTCAACACTCGAAGAATTTATAGTCGTAAATGCGTTGGGAAGCTAGAGATTATCTGATACGATCAAGTGTTTGATTTCTTAGTAAACGATTATGAGACCGATCGTTCAATCTGTTTAATGTTTGTTCGTATTAGACTGAAAAATGCTGGTCAACGGTCGATGCAAACACGTCGTGCGAAGTTATATCAACCATCGCATGAATTCGTCGACTTCTTTAGCGTCATTCTGGTAGACGAGAATTAAAATTCGTAGAATTTAGCAGCTTCTAACCATCTGTAGTTGTATATGAAAAGCAACGTATGGACTAACAACGTTTCATAAAATCTTATTAATTTCTGCGACCAGTTCATCTAGTTCTTTGAATAAAACAACGTTTTAAAACCATGAGATGTTAAGATAAACAAACATCGAGTACGATGAAGCGTTCTTCCGGTATTTCAAGTACGAGCAGACCGAATACTTCTATTTTTTCCCTCTTCTTTCTGGCCGCGTCAAGATTTCCAAGAGTTTCTCGACTTTCCTGAAACACTTGTCAGCTTGGGAGTGCATACCTGTTTAGGAAAGAATCAGGTTTTGAAACGAGTCGTATAACCGTGTCGGTAAAGATCTGTCCTCTTCGTCTTCGTCTTCGTAGATCGTAGAAGAGTTCGTTTAATGTAGAGGGGATTAGTGACGGGACGGTTTGGATGGGACTCGAGGACGTTCACCTTTTTTCGTGACTTCATCGAGGCTGGTACACACTGGTAAAAGTGACTTCTGCCAGCTAGAGTCCCATAGAGCTGGCTCGTCGCTATCTGTATTATTGCCCGCAGGAATTTCATGGAAGGGCGACTGAAACTTTTTAGCCAAATCCTGTTTTGAGAATCGCTATGATTTTACGTCCCAAGAATTCGAAGTCGTTTTTAGCATCGCGATGTTTTAGAGGATTTTTGGAGGAAGTTCGATACTTCTGCATTGAAGGAGTTAATTGAACAAATCAATAATAGATGCGTTCGAATTATTGATAATAGAAGAAGTGGAAGATGTCGAACGAGTAGAAGCGCCCTTGTATCGCAAGACGAAGAGGAAAATAACCCGTTACTGGCTCACTTCCGCCGGAAACGAGACGTGGAAGGCGTTAGATAAGTGGCGATGCTGCGACTGAAGCATAACGGAAAGGCAGAGGGATGGAAAGGCGAATAAGAAGAAGAAGACGATAGGGAGAAAAAGGAAGAGTCGTGTCGCGACCTTGGATTCGAGTTCCGCATTGCTGAAGCGCAACAGATCCTGCGGATCCAGTCGTTGAACGCTTTGCAACCGGTTATCCTAACCATTTTCTTTCTTATTTTTCCAAACCGCGAGACATATTTCTTCGTTTCATCTGAATTCTACATAAACGGTACAATAAAATCTATTTATACGCTAACTCTACGATCTACGGTCTATTCCATGGAACAATGTTGTAGACTGTAGTGAAACCACGATTTCAAACGAACGTGCGGCCATACACTTTTTAACTGAAGTGTTTCGTTAAATGCAGCGAAGGAACAAAGGGAGAGAAAAAAGTGTCGCGACGTTAGAAGCATAGTCTCAGGTTGTTGGTTACTAATTGTCTAGGGCAGAATAATTGTGTTGCCTGTGGAAAATCACTGGCTTTGTTCTCTCCGTTAGAGAAACGAGGCATAACGAGGAGGGGAAAGAACGAAATGCGACGCGACGCGACTGAAATAGCTGATGAAGATACTGAGTGGATGATTGTATAGAGTTCTGGTAGCGAAGTCAGGACTGTATTTGAAAAAAAGGACTCTTTTTACTTCGCGTGTTTTGCTTCTGGTTATACCGAAACATATCGTTGATCTGGATTTATCGACTTCGTTTATGTAATACGCGATAGAGATTCTCAACTTTGTTCATTGGTAAACTTCTCTTTAAAATAATGTTCAACCTGAGTTCAAAAGTTAGCTCGCGTATTAAAATTTGTTAAAGCGAGTAAATCATGTTCATGGTTGCTTGAAAATGTTAACGGTAAATTGAGAAGTATTCTATTGAATATAATTCCAACAAAAGCGAGTAAAATCCGAAAATAAGAGGTCGTGAGAAGCGAGGAGTCTCGACCTTGGCCACGAGTTCCGCATTGCTCGAGAGTAAAGGATTTCGCTGGAAGGGCCAGAAGGATCATTGGCCCTGGTGGAACAAGGGCGAGCTGTCGTCGCGAATCGCGCGCTGCCAACTCGACCTTCAACTTGACCGCTCGACGAACGCCCTTCTCCTTCGTCGAGTCAGCGCCGTGACCGCTTCGGGATACGTACGCGTACAATTTTAGACGACCGGGGTCCTTGACACCTTCGCTCGAGACAACTACCAGCCATTGACAACCTCGAACGTTATTCCCCCGATCATTGATTTGCGCCGATCATCTGCTTACTCCATACATGTCTATGTGTCTATACTCATCGTGCTCTATGATATGCCTGTGTTTACCTCATTTTGCTTATAATCGTATGCCTACGTAACTACGTCTGTCTAAGCCTGGCAATCAAGAGAGCGTGAACGAGACGAAACCTTTCTAAGCGAGCGGCAGAACCATGCTTTCTACCATGGGGTAGCTGTTCTCGCTCGCTAAAACGATGTAATTTTATCGAATAGACAGTGAACGTTGTCCTATTTGTTACAGGGCCTTGGTCAGGATATTTTATTGGTAGCCAAGGAAGAAGAATGGGGTAATGGATTGAACGTAAGGGACAAGTCCTCTCTAGGAGTGGTGCTGAGGGATCGTTTGATGACGGACGCCGCCCTCGGAGGACCCCGACCGATTAAATCGGAACACAATTACAGCCTGTTGGCTTCCAGCCCTCCGCCAAGCCCCGCAACTCCCGGTGCCAACCCACACACGCCTAATTCTGGATCGTCCGCTGATAGGGTTGGAGCATCCCTCTCGAGTACCAGTTCCTCCATCGATTCGAACAACCTAGGTCATCATAAATCGTTAGACATTCGTAGCAGAATCGACGGTGAGCACGGAAGAATAATTTTCAACTTGTCAGTACGGTTGTATTATGCTGTTCAAGTAACTTAATTAATAAGTATGAGAGATTTCATTCTATATTCCCATTGAACTTTGTAACGCGTCCTTCCTAACCGTGACAGAATGACGTTAACATAAGATGAAATTAAATCCTTGAAAGGTTACGAGCTTGCAGGACATCTAATAGAAAAGTATAATGTTACAAGACAGATGGACAGTTAATAATATTCTTGAGTCCACGTAAATACAGACGGAACACGTTCCTGGTTTGATTTAGACGTGGATGTTGTGGATCCATTAACTTCCGACACCGTTTCAAATATCGTGCCATATCAGAAGTATTGGATTGGATCTGATTACCATTTATTTAGCTTGAATTCTGTTATAGACATAATAAGTCCGTTTTCGAATTATTTTTGTATACTTCTTCCCTTACATGGATCGGAAACGATTTATAATAATAATATCCATTAAATTCTTGTTGTCTTTAGACATGGAGGAGGAATGTTTTCCGGCAATCTCGATGAACACTGCTTCGGGACACGATCAATTGTCGTCCTCCACATCGTCGTCGCCTACCTCAACAATTATTCTAAAGAGAAACAATAGTCTAGTACCTGAAGAGATGGAGTGCACCGAGATCAAAGGAGAACCACTCAGTGCACCTAATAGTCCCTCTGAATCCTGTCACGCGACGATAGGAGACGATAAGAGCACGATAACTATGGTGTTCCCGCAAAATCTTCATTTTTCCAAAAGTCACCTAGCGCAGACCAGCGACAGCGAAGAGGACGACGAGGAATATTATCAGGTATTTTTCAAGAAATTTTTCAAAATGGGATTCATTTCCATGGTACTTTAGCTTATCTTGTTTGCGGAGTTTAAAAGTAATTAATGTATTAGCATACTCGGCCAGCTTTACGTAGTCACCTGATAACTTTATTACGAACATACAGAGATAGTTTTATCGATCGATGTTTTGAAGGAGCTGGCGACCTCGAAACGCTTACTATTTTGTAAATAAGTAGACATTTTTTAATACGGAAGTTTCTGTTTCCAAAGAGTATGGAAGTGGAGGAGTACAACGAAGCGAGCTGCGACGAGAAACCAGGGAACCTACACGCGTCCAGACAGGGTCTGCCTCCAACACCGCCTAGCAGTGCAAGCTCCGACAGCGAGGGCACTGCTTCCGCTTCCTGTTCGCCGGAACGCCGCGATTCTCAGAGCTCCGCGCACGCACAGAATCTCAGGGGTTTGCTCACGCCCAGACTGTACGTGACCAACGGCACACACACAACCAGACAGCCTATACACACACCCTTGATTTCCTGCCAGCCGGTGAGCATACGCGAAAGATGACGCTAGTTTAGCGAGATAACGACTAACTTAGCTCCAAGAATGCGTGTATTCCCGTGGCGAACGTTTTATAGTTGGTGGCAACGTTGTCGCTAACCCAAACAAAAGAGCGATCCATTCATGGATGCGTTTAGACTAGACAAATAACTAGACGAGTAGTTGAGGTACCAGGAAGGTAGCCTACCAGACCTCTTTCTCCCTCTGAATTTTTGACTCGTATCTCGTGGACAGGCCTGTTCTAACACACCCATGAATTTAACGAATGTAATGTGAATGGAATTGATTTTCCAGAAAGGATCTACGGGAGTCCTCACGCTGACCGAGGAAGAGAAGAGGACGTTGATCGCCGAAGGTTATCCAGTACCTACGAAATTGCCGTTAACTAAACAAGAGGAGAAATCGCTGAAGAAGGTTCGCCGGAAAATCAAGAACAAGGTGGGTAATCGACATTGGATTACCCTTGGTTAAGACCTACTGCTCACCTAATACCTGACCAAGTTTGATCTTTGACGCATCTGACAGTCCATCCAAGTATCTCCAATAACCCATTATCCCTGTTTGTTCGGTTTATAATCAAACAAATTCGAATAACAATCTTCAATTCAGCGCTTTGAACGAGTCGTTATCGAGTGGATCGATAACGCGTTCGAGGACAGTACGAAATTCGAAATACGATCGTCCGACTCTCGTTACAGATATCGGCGCAGGAATCGCGGCGAAAGAAGAAGGAATACATGGATGGTCTAGAAAGAAGGGTGACCATGTTGACCAACGAGAATTCTTCCTATAGGGATCGACTGACCGCCCTCGAGGACACCAATCGCGAACTGCTGAAGGAACTGCAACGTCTGCAAGCTCTGCTTCAAATGCAGAATTCTTAGACTGTCATTTTTCCCGCATAAATATCGAACCAAACGATAAAATGGTCCAAAGGCTTTTTTTTCTTAGAAAAAGAAAGAAGTAAAATGAGGATTGATTCATCGAGACTGAAAGCTGAAACGAGTCTCCGAGATCCTTGTTTATAACATGGAGTTCCTGATCGTCGAAATTAGGACGATGGCTCGTCACGATGGAAACGATGCTGTTTTTCGACGTGTAGTAGCTCGTCTCGTAAGACGAGTTACTTACTTTCCAGGGAACAGTGCAATTCCTTTACATTCCTGTAAAGTCTTCCTCGCGTAAAGAAAACGGATCGTGCAAATGTTTGAAAGACTCGATCTCTTCGTACGAATCGGCGTCGTCTTCCCACAGGAATCGGTCGATGAAATTTTTTTGTGCCGGGAGTGCCTTGATTCGATGCTTCTTCCTTCGTAAACGAATACCTTCTCTTCTTCCCGTCTTTGTATTTTTTATGTTCTAGTTCTGGATGTTTGACGAAATTTATATAGTCGTCAATTTTGCCCGTTAAGCGTTAGAAGGGTCATCGATGGACAATTAAAGATCTATTTTAATATTACATTAATTATGCAAGGTAGCAGGTACACATAGTCTCTTCTGCTTTGGCGGTCTTATTTAAATAAAGTCATCGGTGACCAATCAACAAACTGTATCGCGATAAATTATTAATTAATTCAAGGAAGATCGAATCGCATCCAAATATCGAATTCTTGTTCCCTCTTTTATGCTTACGTTTATTCGCCATGAAGTTCGATAAGCGAGATAAATTATTCATCGTCCATCGCTAAAGTATTTAACAACGATGAAATTAACGTTAGAGGAGCTGCATCATTGATGTTTGATCCTTCCATTTTCGTCCAAATTGAGAAACGATCGTTCGCATTAATTTCGAATATTGTAGGTGTATTGAAAAAAAAGATCGAAATCGATAGAGAAATATTTGTATTAGTGCGTTAGGAAACTGATTAAGCCGGAAATAATTCGCGACGAAAATAGATTTGCACATTTTATTTGTAAAACGAGTATTGTTTATCCAACCTACTTGCGTTGCTGGATAAGATTGTTCCATTAGGATTTTAACGATAATGTAATTAATTTTTTAAAAGAATCGTTGAAAGTTGTTTTATTTTGTAACGCATACTGATTCAATCAACGAGTTAATTATCATGCATTGTCTAATTTAATATCATTATTTTGTACAACGAGCGGATTACGACTCTTTATGCACATATATCGAAATGTGTTAATTGACGTAACTGGACAGGGGACTAAACTTCATATTAGAAATTTCCAAAAGTCACTTGGTCATACCTGGTACAGTTAAAATCTTAGTTACGTCAATGCAAATCATATACTGTCTATAATAAATCATTTACAGTACACAAAATAAATTGATGTTTTCGAACGAAGTTGACTAAAAAAAATTTACATATTTGCATAAATATTCGTAGTCTTGTACCGAAAATCATGCCATGCAAGTTAATTGTACATGAATAGATTATTATTGAATATGGAATGAAATAAAAGGAAGATAGAAATTTTGTGACTTAGGCTTTGCGAAAAAAACAACTGCGCAACGGATGAAAGATCACTCGGAGTATTTTTAGAAACGAACGAGTGTTTTCCGTATATTTTCCTTGGCTATTTAAAGCTCGAAGCTGAATCTCTGCCGCGTAGAACCGCTTTTACACGAAATTCGGCAAAGATACGTGAAGAATACTAGTACAGAGTTATAGGATGTTAAATAATATCGTAATTAAAATAGGGAGAGAAGTTATTTTCTTTTTGCACAATATTACAAATACTTAAAATTGTATATAAGCGTTTAGGTAAGAGTAACTTAATTGCGAGTTTTACATTTTACAAAGTGAATTATTTCAAAATTTCTTTCAACCATCCATAGAATTAAAACTTGCCTTGCATGGCACGAAACGCATCGAGCCAGATCCTTTTTTCCCGCGAAATCGTTAACGATTAAGATAGCGTTGATGCATTGTAAAACGAAACAATTCATAGGGACCAGTCCGCGTTATCGTGTATACCAGAGTGTAACGTAGGCTTCCTTCGATCAAAGATAAGTGCAGGAAGAGAAGCCCTGCACTTATCGCGAAACCGGGGAAAGTCGTTCTTTCTTCCTTTCCTCCTAGCATTTTTAGACCTAAATGTGTATTACAGGTTTCAGAGAGGCGACTATCTCCGTACTCGTTTGTCGAGATCGCGTTAACTAAGGGAAGCTTACGTTGCTCCCAATTGCACCATGAAAATTGTGTTCGTTGAAGCTCGTTAGATTAGAATCGTTCTAATCCGATAAGAGGATCGTAAATTCGTGTATGTACAAAATGCCAATTCAATGTTGTTCCGCGAAGAACACGCAGAAAGAGTAAAATTTAATATATTCTATAAACGAAGCTTTATATTTAAATAATTATATATGTATACATACATATTATATATACAAATAAGATATTTCTATATAAACAGATAATATATGTATACACTACGCGAAGTACGTACCATACACACTCGGTGTGCTGTTATGTATGTATGTGTCTGCGTGCATGTGCGTGTATGAGACTAGTGAACATCAGTTTTTATCGTTGTTAATGCGAAATTGTATCGCGTTGTTCGTGAAATTTATTAGCTACATTGCCGTTTTGCGTGTATATTTATCTACAGAGTTTAGATGTGTGTGTATCGGTATATATGTTCTTTTCTTTTTTTGTGGATCGTTAGTACCAGTGATGGACGAGCGTGCACTCGCGAGCACTGTTGGGCAGTAGTCTACAGACCATGTGTTCATCGATTATCAGGAGTGGAGGATGTCTCTGCGTTTCCCTAGGTCTTAGACCTCCATGAGTTTTCTCCCTAGATTTTCTACAGACTTCTTAGGTTCTCAAGCCTCTTCCTTCATAAGCTTTCTGTAGGTTCTCCCTGAGTTGCCCTAAGTACTAAAGCTCTTTCGCGGACACTGATCTGCCCATCGCTGGTTAACACGACTTATCCTATTATCTGTATGAGTAAGCGTCTACGCGATGGCAATGTGCGAAGCAACGTGGTTGGCGTAGCACGTGGTCCACCTCTATTTGTGTATCACGATGAATAAAAACATGTGACTTAACTCTGCCATAAGTATCCTTTCTATTTTGCGAACACTAAGTATAAGATATAGCTTGATATCGCGTTGGGTACCGCGGAGGACACTCGACCAAATTCGTTTATAAATTCCTTACACCTTTCTTGGGTCATTACTAGTCTAACACTAAAATTATACTAATCACAAAAACAATATTCTAAATAACTACTGATCTTCAATGGAAAATTATGCGAGTCCATGTAAACATTACTATAGAATTCATTGAACTTTGAATAAGGAAAGTCCCACAGCTCGTATCGCTATCAGAATATCTGCAGTAAATTATATTTTTAAAATTTGAAAGAAGACACATCGATTTGACCAGCACGCAGTTGCCCATTGGAAGCGTGCGTGACCCACAATTGGATCCAGAGTGGGGTACGCCTCATAAAATCCTTGTGCATTGAATCTAGTGTTTACAGTACCAGTTCAGAGCCTGACAACATCGCTTCAAAGTGAGTATGACTGTTTGACATTTTAAATATTTTACCTTGTAGTTTGCATGTCCTATTCTCATCCATTTTTACCGTCACACCTACAATATTATATCGCCCGAAGGGTCACTGACTGATAAATATTTAAACGTATCTCGATTGCGCGTTTCCATCCACGTTACGACTCTTTCGCGTTATTAATCATTACCAGTCTATAATATTTCATTATTTTTCCATTATTCATATTTATCAGCAAATCTTTACGTCCTCAAAGATAAATTGCAAATATTTATCTATGCAAGAATATAGATATACCTATTAATCTATACAAGAATTAACATTGTAGAAAGATAACAATTCTATTTTTGGTCCGTTGTTGAACGATTCGCGAAAGAATTTTATTCGCTCAGACAAAACAAATCTTGTCCAGTCCTGAAGCATTCCGCTCATTATTTTCTTACATAAAACTTGTTTGTACATTTTCACTGAAGTAGCTCTTTGTCTTCTACTATGTTAATTATCGTCTCAGAGACACAAAGCACTACGTTGGCTTGCTGTTCGAAAATAACGGAAAATCTGAGTCATTCTTGATAAATCTGGTTACTCAACAGGTCACCAAGATCGATTTGATGTTGTCCCCAGATACGTAGCACAGATTATCGTTCTTTGTCTCGTAAAATTAAGTGAATTATGTATAAAGAAGTATTTTGCAAGTTTGTTAATCCGGTATATGACATCACGGGGATAATGTTTTAATTATCTGCACAGGTTTTTATAGCATATAAGGAAAGTATCAAAGAAATAAATTGATAATGATTCACTTCCTCGTAATAAATTGTTGAACGACTTTTTTTACCATATAAATTCTTAGAATACTTGTATCGTTCGATAATGAAAATTGTGGCTTGTAATTTTTGTTGCAGATGGGAACAATGAAATGTTTGATATTTCTAGCAGGATGTTTTGTATTCGCGAAAGCACATACGTATCATATGGGCGGTTGTCCCATCGTGGAACCGATGCAAGGATTCCAAATGAGCAGAGTAAGTACACGGCATTTATTGTTAGCCGTTCAGAAAATTTCACGCGTATCATTGTAGTTTCTAGGAGTATGGTACGTAATACAGAAAACTTCAACTGCCAGTAAATGCATCACTTACAACTACACTCGGGGCGAGGAACCGGGAGAATACGTTATAACGCAAGATTCTGATCATCCGATGTTAGGTAAAATATGAAAGTTCAAACGAGACTAGGTCTCAACTAATATTCATGAAGCACCTTCTTTTCTCGGTGCTCCAAGAAAGGAGCTTTTCAATGTTTTATCGCTAAGAGATTCAGATAATAGGCAAATACGTTGCTGCAAGGGATGAGATTTTCTTTTATAGCTGCCTGTTGATGGCGCTATATATATTGCTGGAAGCTTTTGAATTGATAAAGGAGATCGTCGGATCTCATCGGGACTCATAAAAGCATGTCAATAGGATAACTGTCTGGCAAGTGGGATGAATTATCCGTAATGAAGAGACGTCTGTATGCGCAGGTCTTACACCATTGAAGCACGAGTATCATTACACCGGTGAATTGTCCGTTCCGGAACCGAGTACGCCAGGCCGAATGCAAGTTCGTTTTCCTCTTAGTGAGTATCGCGATGTTATACCGTTTAGAAACAAATTCCTTTCACCGATCTGACCTTCGCATCCGATTCGTCGTTCATGGAAATTTCGTCCGTGAACTTTCGGCGGGCAGTTGATCTACTGATTTACATTAATTTATCGGAGCAGGTCATTATGTCCCGAATGAAAATCAAGTCCATCAAACTTTCCTTAAATCTCTCCCCTCCTTATTAAACGTTTAAGCAGCCCCTGCAATGTATCAATTGCCCAATTACAATCTCTAATAATTGTTAATCCTCGGAATATCGAGTCACATTCGTGACGCAATTTATGAGAAAAATCATGGAGCAGAGGTTGTTTGATTTTGTTGAAAGGTGTTGCCGGAAGCGCGTCTCACGTGGTGTTCCTGACGGACTACGACAACTACGCGGGAATCTTCACCTGCCAAAAATTGGCATTCGCTCATCGGCAAAGCGCGACGATCCTCTCCAGACATCGAGAACTGAGCAAAGTTTACGTGGACCAGATACGTGAACGGTTAAGCTCGTTCGGAGTAGATCCTTTCGATCTCAGCATCGTCCCTCAAACAGGGTGCCCCAGAAACAACGATACGTTCGACATCAACGTTAACCCTAATACGTTCACCAGCGAAAGTTTAGGCAACGTAGTTCGCAAAGCTGGAGAGAAGTTGGGTGACGGTGTTCAATGGGTGGCTAATACGGGAAGCAAGGTGTACCATAAATTGGCAGGAGACGAGCAGAACACCACTAAACCGGAAGATAAGGCAGGAGTCGGCACTTACAAGGAGGTAGACACCAACGAGGTTGGATGGATCCCGTAAAATCAGGATGTTGGAATTTAGATCTCTTAATTTTTAAGACGTCGACAATATTTGGTTGTTAAATGATTATGATCTGTTTAGAAATAGCAGGAGAACCAAAGACTAACCGAAACGTATATTTTTTGCAAGATTGTGAATGAAATAAAAACTTTGAGAGTTGAATGAAGATGTTCTTATTCCCTTTATACTGTACCTACGTCAGAATAAATAATTCACAAATATTTCCGTGATATTTTTATAAGTATAATTGCGGTGAAAGATATCCTCAGCGACTTTCGGGGAAGTGGGTCAAGGATACGAGATATTGCATAATATTTAATTGCTTAATCGATCGATCGATCATAGTGACCAAACCTATTTCGATTCCTTATTTTCTAAAACATCTACATTAAATACGAGGCGTTTTACCCTGAACGTGACTGGTCGAAGGATGCACAGTGGAAGGAAGAAGGTCGCCTGCATATGTCCTGCGGCAATTGTAACAAATTAATTCGATCTATTTACAGCCGTTAACTTATATACCTTATAAACATGCGTCGTATCACGTGATTCGGAATCTCCCCCGTGTAATCTGGACCAAGCGGATTCGCGTATCTATATACCTCTGTGCATATTAGTAATCCTGACGAACCATTTGAACGATCAGTTTGAGAGCAACCGTCGGGGAGTCAAGTAAATCTTTGTTCCAACCGGAGGACATCCTGCGTCGGCTCTCCTGGCTCGCGAATGTTGTAGATTCGCGACGAAGACCTTTTCGCGGGAGCATCTTGATCCTGAGGAACGATCGTTGTCATTGGGGATTAAACGAGATCAAAATTTTTCATTGTACGTATATCAATTTGATGTAGAATAGAACCTTTGCGAATTAACCCCTCTAAGATATTTATGGTACCCAATTGTAGTTTTGAAGGGGTTAAACTCTTATTTCTTATCCTTTTCGTGAGAAGATTTCGAAATCAAGAATAATCGCGTATAAATATTACCGGGAAACGATCGAACCCCGGAACACGTATCGTTAATTTACACGAAAGTCAAAGCCATAAATCCGTCGTTACAACAATTTTGCTTTCAATCGTTTTAACCGAAAGCTATGTATATGCCAAACACGTATCTCTGCGCATACATTATTCAAAATATTGTATATTTCCTTTAACGCGTACGTGCAAGGAATCAGTTGTGATACTGTTAAAAAATTGCTTATGCGATAACAGCAGAGTGCCGTTGTTTACGTTTTTGTCACAGTTATTTATTTGATAAGGACACATTACCGATACCTTTCTATTTCCCTACTTTTCTTCCTCTTATCTTATTTGGCTATTCATTTATCTTTAGTATTTCAATAATTGTTCCAAATAAAAAGTTTCTAGCCATATCGTAAGTCGTCAGTTGCTTTCCAAACAAACGTTACTTTGTCAAATCGCGAGAGCTGTATTTTATTTTTCTTTAAATCCTATTTATCTCTAAAACTGTGATCTATTCGATAAGCATGTCTCATCGTGGTTTCTTCGAAGAATTGCACGGGATTCAAAAGGTAATTTTCTTGCGAAATGTACACTACAGCAATTATACCGTTCATCAAGTAACAATTTACTCGTGCTCAAACTATTCCACTGGAGCAACTTGACGAGTAGAATCATCTCGATTTTCGAAGGATCATAGTGGTCGTAGTCAGCTGGTCGAGGGGTTGTTGCGCACTGCAGCAGCTCGAGTCGCGTTGCGGTTTCGGGGGTGCGCAGCCGAGGGTGGGAGTGTCGGTCGTGCAACCCGTCGTTCTCGCACACCTTTCTTTCAGTGAGTTTCTCGTTATTCCATCGGTTCGAACTTCCAGATCTTCTCCGTCCAATCAAGCGATCGACCCTCTTTCAAACACGACGGCACTTCTCCTCTACGGTACTTTATTCTTAGATTTGCGCCAACATCTTTTGCAGCTGCTGTTACGTAGCGATTCGCACGATCGCTGTCACACGTGTACAAGCTTTCCGCAGGGTAATTGATCGATTTAGCGACGCGTGCAACCGCTTACTATCGCAACGAGCGACGATTCTTACGGAATTGTTCTTTTGACGTCAGAACGCGTAAATTGCCGATTTTCTAACCATCGCGATACGTAAGACGATAGCTCGTGCTCTTGCGGTTTCATCTTTCTACTTGTGAATGGACCGTGATCGTTGTTGCGTGTGTGAGTACGTAGATTTCCGAACAGCTGTTCACTGTTCAATGTCTGAGGATTTATTTTCTGAAATCAGTAAGTCATGCCGCTATTTATTCGATCGAATGTTTCATTAATTCGAATTGAACACCTGCTGTTTAAAGTTACAATTTTTTAACACCTAATTATTACGTCGAATGTGAAGTATAGGTCACACGTGACCACGGCACTCGAACATTCTATTAATATTTCATTTCTCAACAATTGTAAAGTAAATGAAACTCTTGTGCAAGCGCGATTACGGGACAGAAAATATGAGATCGTTAAAAGCTAATTTGTCGATGACTAGCATACTCGCACACTACTTAGTCAATTGTTAATCGGCGCTTGAACGCCAAGAGAAATTGCAAAATCGTCACGCAAAGTATTTTTCACGTTCGAGAAGGGGTTGATTAAACGCGGGAAGGCGCGGTGCGTTGGATTGACCCTCACGAAGGTGGGTCAAAGTTGTTGATCCGCCACGGTTATAGGGAGCATACAGGTTCAAGTGACAAGTTCGTCAACGAGGCCTGCTGACCCAGATTCGCGGTATCTGGCTCAATTTTATCGAGTATGGGGTGATTCGTGTGACGTTCGAAGGATCAGTCGCGTCCCCAAACTGGGACGATCTAATCGGGCTAATTGAATTAAATCTCTATCGATCGGACGAGTTGTGCTCCTTTACCGATTTCGTTTATCGATTCATAAAAGCTATCGACTGATTCTCGTTCATTTAAGCCAATTATTTTCTAATTACTTTTCGTCGCGAATGCAAATTAGAAGAGACTACATTCTTGATCAGAATATTCGATAATTTGTAAAGTTTTTCGTATTCTACGATTCGCACGAAGCAGTTGTCCAAGAAGGTCCTCCGTCGAATTCGTAATTAACTCGCGTTACGCTGAAATTCGTTTAAAATCGTTTAGTATCAAGAGTCGCAAGGTCGTTCAACGCCCTCGTTGCGTCTGGTCGGTTCAGAGATGATGCTGTACGATCTCTTTCGCGATTCGGATGCGTCAACGGGAAGGACGACCGGTAAAAAGCCTTCGACGTTTTGGTCTTTGTTCCTTATCTTCTTTGCGACCTTACGGTAATACCGTCCTTGAAGGAATCTTTGGTAACGATGGCTGAGAAAGGTGAAGCACCATCAGTCGTGGAACGCTCCTCGAAGTCACAGCTTCGAATCTCGTTGCTCCTTTGCTCGGTCGATTATCGATGTTTCGATCGATGATCCTTCGGCCTTTCGCGCTGTGAAGTTCCAGGGGCTGAAACGACGTTCGCGTATTCGTCGATCGACTTTCACAATTTTCTTTTGTTTTTCCGGTGTGTACGTCGGTGCGAAGATACGTGTAGATAGGTGAAATGCTAATTTACCTTCTGTTATCTGTGCCACCACGAAAAGTCCTTGCAACGTGCTAATTTCAGCGAAACAACAGTAAGTGCTTTTGCAATTTCCCGCTCGATCAATATTGGATCCTGCTGTTTGCATAAAAAATATTGTTCGAAAGCAAACTCACTTCAACTTAATCGCGATGACATTTGAATTACAAAATTGCACAAGGCCGTGTGCAAGCCTTGATTTTTGCTTTGATCTATTAGAAAAACTTTCAATGATCTTTTTTTGATCAACGATCAATTCCGATGCAAAATAGCTTTCGATTAAAAAATTTCTACGCACGAGCGTCGATTCAAAATTTCGCTAAAAGTTGATGTAATTTGAATATAGAAGTTTAAGAACAATTTGAGTTCCGAGAAGTTTAAGAAATCGGGCTACATCTCAGATCATTGGAACCACGGTGTTAATTATGTCAAGGATATCGAAAAAAGAGGCTGTTGATCGTGAACGTCTGGCGAAGAAAGAGCCAAGGTAAAATCCCGGTCACTGTGGCGAGATCTGTCCAGGAACCTGCCGACGTTTAATCGATCTAACCCCCCGACCTGCTCGTTAAACTGACCGGAATTCCTGTCAGCCAATCTGTTTGACCGTACAACGAGCAACGATTAATGCTCGATTAAGAAAGAAAACGTCATGTAACGCAATCGCTTTTCATTACATTCGTGTCGTTATAATGGAGTTTTACAATGACCCTGGTACGAGAGGACAAGTTGTCTGAAGTGTTTACGAGCCTTTTAAGATTCCGAATAACGAGATTCCCCGACAAGACAAAAAGAAATAAATGCAAATGGAAATGTTTCCTCGCGAAATAATTAGACATCGAAAAAGTATCGAGACGTCAGCTCTGAGTGAATGATGATCTCGACGACCTTCGTGGCAATGAACGTATTTTAATATTGTCACCTTATTGTAGCTTGTCTGACCTATTGAACATGTTTTTATAAAATATTTCAAGGTCTCGAGAATAAAACTTGTAAGATCTTAGCGGCAATTAATCACGAGCCTCAAGGCAAAAGATAAATAAGTAATTAAAAAAATAATTTACACAAAGTTTGCGTTGTTTTGTAGATGTTTGCCGTCTTCCTGTTATTAATACCACTCTTCTGCGGAGATGCAAGTGAGGCCAGCGTGCTCGTGGCGGACAACACCATGTCCAGAATGGTGGAATTGAATGCAGATGCGCCATTTTGTGCCTTATATACGGATCGTGGTGTCATACAGAAGATGGTTCTAGGCGCTGATTCGAAGAAGGTTCTGCAAGTGTCCAGCAAACTCGTCAACGACCTCGAGAGGACATGCAACGCGTCTCGTGACAAGGGAAAGGTACGAGTTTCGACATATTTTACGTGTCACCACGTTCCAAAATAAAAAATATAATATTCCCCGATCAGAATCAGCCACCGGGAGGCGGATTGATATATCCAGGAACGAAATGGTGCGGACCGGGTACTTTAGCCAAATCCTACGACGAGCTGGGCCAGCACGCAGCGGAGGATGCTTGCTGCAGAGAACACGACCATTGCCCCATCACGATATCGCCTCAGGAATGCATCCACGCTTTATGCAACAATTCGCCGTTCACGCGATCTCATTGTGACTGCGACGCCAAGTTTCGGCGATGTCTGCAGAATCTGAATACCGAAGTCGCGAACACCCTGGGTGCCCTGTTCTTCAATGTGATACAAGTGACTTGCTTCGAAGAGAGACGCCCTTGTTCCGAATGGCAAAGGTAGCTTTCATATTTCAAATAATTCTATGCAGAAATTATTTCAAACTAATTTATGTAAAAGGCCCAAAGTTTTCTAGCAACAGTGTCAAAAATGACATTGAACGTAAATCGATTACACCGACAATTTAGTACTTAAAGCTGAAAGGCTTTTAACGATTGCGTTATCGAATCTCTATAGCTGTCCCATGTACTGGGCTCATAGTCCTAAGTACGAGATGAACAACGCGCCTCGAGACTTCTACTCCCAGAAGATGCTTTTCTTCAAAATGTTTCTACATGCCATGCGTGACTTCATCGTGCAGAAAAAACAATTCCTTTTTGGCTACTCATGAGGGAAAACGCCATTTCAATGTAATTTTCTTATAAAGCAATATTCTTAAGGTGTTGGTGACGATGGTGGTGGTGCTTGGGGGATTCAGCTCGTTCTCGATGATTATTAACCTTGTTCATCGGATATCTCTATGGATAATCGTTTTGATTGCAGGTATGGCTACGAGGAATCCGTGTTGAACTGGCTGTGCTCCCAGTACAAATTCAGGCCCAGTGACAAATATGTTCCGTTAATGCCGTTGAATATTAACTAGCTACTGCGAAAACGCAAGAAGAGCGGACCAGATAGTTTATGAAACAGTTGCCAGTTAATAGAGTTCCAATGAGCTAGATAATTGCACGCGACTTTATCAACCGTCTTCCCTTTCGTCACTTGACAATTTATTCTTCCTACTCGCCCCATGAATTTCTTCCCTTTTCACGAATGTGGACTTGAGAAATTTTTTAATTCCAGAATGTAAAGCTTGAGCGAAGGATACTCTGCACGTTCCACGTAACGTAAGGTTACAAGGAGCCTTGATCTCTTCCTTTTTAGTTAAATTTTGCAAGATGCAGTCGAGTTTGGTTATAAAATTAACTTTTTGAATTTCTTAAACGTTAACTGTCATACAAAAAAGTAGTTTCTTATCCCTTATCTCGCGGGGTATCTTCCAAGTGAAAGCGAAGCTCGTTTCTCGAGAATTTTTAACCAAGCCGCGTGCAATTAAATATAATAACGTTACCGTTGTTGCTCAATATTACTCTTTAACGCTTAGGCGATTTTAAAGTTTAGTGATGTAGGTGTGTAATCTTCTGATATTTTGTCGATCGCATTGATTTTGCTATAAGAAGCCGTATACAGGAAGGCAATCTTTTTCCCTTCGTTGAACAAAAATGAACCAAAGATTATGGCGGAAGACGATGCGAAAAGGTTGCAACTGTACGAATTGCGACGAAAGAAGGTTTTACTGATATTACTAAAACGAGGTTCGCGTTTCTTGCATATCATTGACACAGACATTCTAGCTATTTCGTTGTTGCAAAAGTAGCAGTGATCGAGCATTGAACGTTTCGTATATCGAATTTAAATTTATAATGAAACGATGCTATCGTTGCAACAAATTAATAGCTTGACAAGGTACCAACGAATTACAACAGGTTTACGACTTTCTATTTACTTTGATAGCCGAGATATGTAAATTACACTATCCGCATTTTAACGTCGTTCATAGGTTTTAAATTAGATTAGCTCACGAACGTTGTAGTTCTCTTTCGAACGCACTGCTCAAAGTATAATGCGAGACGTACGGTGTCTCGTGTACCAAGAATATTTCAAGTTCAACTTACATAAACATACAATGCAACGCTGAGTTCAAAAACCTATTATGCAAAATTATTCGAGTTCATCGTAAACGTGCGATGACGCAACACCTGACGCAGATCTAATCGAGACCGAGCTAAATTAATTCAACTTTCCAGTTCGTATTTCAAAATCGTTTCCACGTGTTTAGGTTGATGAACTTGTCCTGAAGTTGTCCTTGAAATAGTGGCGATTCAACGAGATACTATTGTTTAAGGTTAATATCGTAGTCCTTATTTTAATTCAAAGTCTATCGCCATTTATTTTGAGCATGAAAACTGTGAGAACGAATACAACGACTCTGCACAATATTTACCGTGATTGATATTACATATTCCGAAATAAGCTTAATACAATTTTATCGTAGTAATAGATATGTACATATGGCCCGTCCGTTGTTTCTGGTTTGCGAGTCAAAACGATGTGACCAGAAAAGAACCAAAAGTTGAGGGCGCAATTATCCACAATTTTAAACGCGAAGGTCAGCCGGGAAAGAGTGCAACGATATTAAAAATACCTCAGTGAACATCTTCGATTTAACGATACAGGAAAATCTTGAAAATTTTTGGCATATCAGAACAGCGCGTTAGTTCCAAAAACAGTTATATCTATAAGAACCTTCTTCCCATAGTCTTATGCACTATTATCTTTAGAAACATAGATCATACATTGTTTATGATATATATAAGTTTTGTTTTGGAACTAAGATTGTAAACATTAATTGCATATCGATACAAATTTTCAAGATTACACTGTGTCTAGAAGTATGAAACATATGTATATTTATATGTACAATGTTCTTGTCATTAAGTATATTATAAACTTCTATATTTTTAATGCTTGCATGAGATAATACCGCTTGTATATTTGAAATTCGCGTAGAATCTTAAAGACCGTGTTTATATTATGAAGTCACGATGTTCAATATCGAAGAAGCTATTAATTTTGCACAATTTTCAAAATATATATCTGGAACAGCTTGTACTCTACAGTATATAGAGACTGTCAAAGAATTTACATTCTTAAATATAATAGAAATACTGTTTAATATTTTATAATCACAGATGGACCATGAAATGCTTAGACATCTAGCGGTAGTAAATTAAACTTTACCTGAACTAAACTCTAAATAATTCTTTTACAATTTTCGAATGTTACGTTGCATTAGGGTTCGACAAATGTTTTGTATTAATAATATGCATCAAATAAAGTTAATTAGTGCTGAGAAAATCAATATTAATGAGGGGGTAAAAAAATCGAACATGTGGCGCCATCTCTCCGGCAAACAGGGTGAACTACACACTTTTGAAACCGCGCTTTAATTAGTTCTTATTTTCGACACCAGATGGCGCATTCGAAAGCGACCTCGACTAGTGGCGCCATCTCTCCGGCGAATAGGGTGAACTACACACTTTTGAAACTGCACCTTAATTAGTTCCAATTTGCGCCACCAGATGGCGCATCCGGAAGCGACATCTGGTGTCGAAAATTGGAACTAATTAAGGTGCAGTTTCAAAAGTGTGTAGTTCACCCTATTCGCCGGAGAGATGGCGCCACTAGTCGATTTTTTTTTTATAGTCAATTAACGTTAATTATTGGGTTAATTAACTTCAATATGCCTCAAATTATTAAAGATATCTCTGTATGGGACATTGGCACAATTTATTTTGGAAAAAGTCGATAAATAAGCATCTGTCGAGAAACTGGAAAGTCGTATTTTTTCGGTTCTCGTATTCGCCGCTAAATGGCGCGAGATCTCTTAAGCGCGCCATAGTATGAAATAAGAAATAACCACATTTTAATGCACCATTTCAGCTTAAAAATGTGTGACATACAACGCGCAAATTGAAACACATAATTGAATATACGGTAAAGGTAATAAATCGGATGACACGAACGGTAAGAAAGTCAATCGAAAACACAACTGTACTCTTTGAAAAGCAATTCCATGACAGTGTTTTGTACGCTGCCGCCTTATAATTTAATATTGCGTTATAATTGATATTTTCTTCATCATCTCGCCTAACGCGACGTCAGGCTCACTTCCTCGAACCAGGCAAGATTCTCGCGGAGGTATTAATGCTACGTTTGAGCATTACGTCACATCGCGAGACTTTCTACATCCTCTTCGCGAGTACTGTTATAAAAAATCTCCTCTCCCGACATTTAATCACGTGAAAGGAATGCTACGAGTCTAACCACGACCAAACCGATACTCTCGTGCCGTCTGTACTCTCTGTGCATCGCTGATGAACCAGAAAATAAACAACTCATTATCGCAAACTAGCACGTGTCACCTTTTCAAATTGCATCGGAGACCATTTTACTTTCTAGTCATCCACCTCCGTTTATCTAACAGTTGCATGTTCCTTCCTTTTCCGTCTTTTTTTCAGGAAGACCCCGAACGGAAAAAATTATGCAAGCTAGTTTTCATCGGTTTCAGAGTGTGTAATGGCGATAAAGCCGTTAGTTTGATGGGATTGAACTTCCTTCGACGAGGGAACCCTTCCCATTTTGTACGAGGAAGATGGTCGTAAAAGTGATGAGAACCGCAAGCAGATTACGGTGATAGAAACCGAACAGTGCTAGTTATAATTCTGTACTTAACGCGTTCGATCCCAGGGTAATCACGGATAACAGATCTACTCTGAGATCCCTCTAAATTGGGATTATAGCGCGAAGGCAGTTAAACCGGAGATGTACCATATGTAAATGAAGTATAAGTTTCCGATAAAATATTTTGCAAGCAATAAGCGAAATTCGAATATTCGATCGTAAACGTGGTATCCGCAGTGAAATGCTTGCGCCACGGATAGTCAGGAACAATAGGGTAGGAGAATTTCTGATGCAACGAGTATAACAGTACAGTCTTCAATTTTGCGCGACTTAAGTGAATTGTCTCGTCGTTTCCACGTGGACGAGCAACTCTCGGAAACTGTTTTTTCAGTAGTTCGTTAGATCCTCCTTTCTTCCGCTATTCCTCCTGTTCGTCAGTCCCGTTTCCCTCGAGAAACACGTTTCTGTTCTAATCCTCGAAAATTCTACAAATTTGAAATAGAGGAAAAAACTGGTCGTGTCATAACTAAACTGAAACACGAATCTCGCGTGTCTCCGCAAGATCGTCGATGATATTTAATGCATCTCTGGTTAGCATTCACGGAGGCGACTCGCCTCCGCGGATGGTCTCTTATATCGGGTGACCCGAATAAATAATACGAGCGGCGCGCCGTTTTAGCTCCAATTTCTTTTCCCCCGTTTTCATACTCGCGATCGGATACGCTCGATCGCGCCTGCAAACCGATACTCACCGATTGAGCAACGCGGCTGGCTAAAGGCCGCGACTCTAATTGACTTCGGATTTTGCAAGCGTGGGCGAGTCGATTTCGTTGCACATTTTCAATTGCTACGTTTATCCTTTGACATATTTCGTACCGACGCATGATTACTGTGTAGACCCCATATCGTCAACAAAGCGAACTTATACTATAACAGTGAAACATATCGAGATATTTCTGAATCCTGAAATTTCTTATGTTTCAAATCCCTACATGTTTATTCGCCACACGAAACTACGAACGTTCTCAAATAATTGACCGATTGACGAGGTAAATTCGATAAATAAATTGCTTCACCTAGACCGCGCGCAATCCGTCCTTGCGAATCGTCTCGCATATTAGCTGGCCTGAATAAATAATAGAGATAAATAGCGGGGCTCGGTTTTAGCGTCGCCTTTCATTTATATTCACTGATTGATTTTAATTCACGCGCAACGGATTAATGAGATCTACAAATTATGTTTCTTCATTTCACAACTGCGAATGATCCGTAACATTGGATTACTATTTTTAATCGAGTTCCGATTTATTATGCGGATGACATTTTAAATTTTATAAAATTGAATAGAATGTCGAAGATTCCTTTGATGCTACATAAGAAATAATTTTCAAAGAAGAAACAAGAATTATGATTATCCGCGAATCTCGAACGACCATGAACGAAATGACGCTGATGAATATGAATTCGTCCTTCGCTCCATAAGAAATTGTAAAAGTGTCGATTGAGCTTTCTACGACTACACATTTTTGTACCACGACCACATAACGTTTACGGCATTTTATGAATTATGTATGACGTTATGTTGCGCGATCGGCCGATTAAATTGTTTTGCGTTAGACAGATACGTACGACAACACACTGATTCATAGCTTCTTTTCCAGTTCCTCGTGCTTTCCTTGTTTCTACCGAAGAAAACCCCGTTAGAATTTCTCATACTATATTTATACTCCACTCATTTTTATCTTCTGCGTTTTAAAATAGTATCCATTGTTACAACAGCGTTAACAAGTTCAGCTGTCGAAGAGCATTACTCTGAGTAACGAGCCTCTTTCCCAAATTTCCAAATCTCATTCGGTCATGCGTAAGGCTTCAATGGATGTTGTAAATTGTCTCGGACTATTGCGACGCGTCCGACGATGCTGATAATGATGATATTATTCGAAGGCTAGGTGCATTTGCAATCTCGAGCGCATCCATCTCTGCAGAATCGCCTACCTCTTGTGGTCTCTCAATTAATAAGACCACACAAGTGGAGTCTTTCTTCGCGATGCTCGATTGCGCCATTAACGCACGAACTCGTCTTGATTTGCACGTTATCGTGTGCACGCAAACCCCTTCGGGGGTTCAAAACTGTACGGATAATCGCGCATAACCGCGAGCTTGTAATTTAATTTCCTTCCCTGGACGACGAGCAATTTCCTCGCGGAATCACGCAGCGATCTACCCGAGACCTTCTGTCGTGTCAAAAACGACGCAACAAAAGTTCTAACGATTATTTGCTTAATACAGTGTTTATTACAGTAACAAATTTATTATTTCTGCTCGTGTATCGTCCGACAGTCTAACACGTTTCGCAGGTCTAGGTCGCGATTAACCCGGCTCTACCATTCGAAGGCTAAACTGCATACCACCCTGATGCCATCATCCTCGTAACCTCAGTTTGACGTACGTTTCTTTGTAGTAGTTGGAAACGGAGTGGACCCAGAGATAAAATTTCCAAGAATAGCATCCTCGGATAAACCCTTTGATCTCGGAGATCGCTCGTTAATCGGCACACCCTATAGAGGCGCTTGATATCGGGTTAAACGAGTCGAAGAGTATCTATATAAGAGCGTAGGTGGAAGGGGCACGATCCCCCGTTGGAGGCCTCGTTGGCAGAAAATCGTGTATCGGGGGACCGTTTTAAACTGGACAAAGAAGAACCGACGAACGAAACGCGAGAGGGAGCAGGAACACGATAATGGGCCGGAGATGGCGCTAGTCGTATACAAAGGAGGAATCGTTCGCCATGGGTCTGTTACTGGTATCAGCGGTAGTGATGGGACCGACTCGATATTTATCTATCAAAATTCTACATAATTCGACGCCTTTTACTTTTCTATTTATCGATTGATAATATTTTTCAAAACAGCCGAGACGAAATGTTTAGTTGCTACAGAAGAGTTTATAAGCTAGACACAGTTGGTTTTGATCGCGTTAGCAAAGACAATAATATCAAAATCGACGATACGTCTATCCGATCGTTCAACTAGTTTGAAGTCACCCTATGTTATCGTACGAATTCCTTGTGCATAATTGTGCGAACGCAGCGAGCGCGTATCTATGCGGCTCAATTCCGCCTAAATATACTTGATGGACGGCATTCAGCGTCGAAGCTGACGCGGCACCGTTCGAAGGAGGAATGGTAAAAAAGTTGACGAGCAATCGACACCGGGCCGCACGTTGTTTCCATCGCTAATCAATGGGGCCCTCTTTCTACCTGGCTGTTCTTAACCTGCCGTGTCTCGCAGGGGCAATGCGCAGCGAGGAGACTAAAACGGCCCCGGAGTAGGGACCTCGAAGAAGGGAAGGGAGAGAACAGAGAGAGAAAGATAGAAAGGAGAAGGGGCCCTGTACTTCCACCACCATCAACCTTCCCGGTCAGTGCTTCTCTTTCTCTTCGGGTCCGTTGGTCTTTGTCCCGTGAACTGGCACGGGGACTAAAATTCAGGACAGAAAACCGTCTTGTCTGGTTAGTCGTGGAAGCTGGTGGCGGAGAACGCGTTAGCCGGTGATCGGGAGTCGATCTTCGCAAGGTGTGGCGGTTCGTCCGAAAGAGAGAGGAAAGAAGATCGGGGCCCGTTTCGACGGGCATTCGAGAGGGGCAAAGGACAGACATAACCTCGACTCGAGTCTTGCCTGTCTTTCTCTTTCTCTTTCGCTCACTCTCTCTCGTTCGCGTTTCACTCGAACTCTTCGCGGAGGATCTCCACCGTGGAGTCAGTATCCCGTGATGGTCAGGTACGCGCGAAACCACTCGCGTCGCGTCGTTGACGAGTGAACTCTCCTTCGAGTGACGCCGCCTCAGTTGTTTTTCTTCTCTCCTCGAATTGTCTTCGAAACGGGCCTCGTTTTCGTTCGGTACGTTAAGGAGACGAGCGAGCGAGCAAAAGTGCATCGGAGCCGCGAGCAGCTGTCAGATCGAGCTAGCTCGCTCGTTTTGCCCATGGTGTGCAACGCGTAATATAGACGGTGTGCATGCTCCAACTACACGGTACGTGGCTCGTACGTACCGTACAACTTGTTCCTCTGTTCTTCGCCCAAACTCGACTGCCCGTTTACCCGGAGATTCCGCTTCGTTCCTGCTTGCTTCGAAAATCGCCTCGAGCGCTCACCTTCCACGGATCCATCCCCTGCCGGTTTGTTTTTTCTCTCTTTTTCTTATTAACCGAGTCGTACCCCGAGTATTTTCGGTAAAGCGAAACACGAACGCGCGAATGTTCGAAGAATCGGAGCGCCTTTTGTCGATAGGAATGCGACGAACGTTTCGATGTGGAAATAGATTTCATCTGTCGATGAGAGGAAGTACGAACACTTACGGTTTGCGTTTGACACGTGAGGCATCATAAAGACCCCGGAAGATTCTACGGGCACGAACGGTAGTCTAGAAATGTTAATTGTAAAGATAATTTAATTATAATTAAACGTTAATAAAACACTCGTATGTTGTTGAAATTAAAAAAAAGTAGTACAAATGTATTTTTACTTGAAAAAGTTGTCGAACCCATCGCTAACCGTGACACGTGTTTTGAACGGAATAAGAAATATCTAGTAACCGCAATCCTCGGGCAAGCGCGGTTACTTAAATTCGTAGATTGAGTAATCGATCGAACGGCGAGTACGGCGAAATCGAAGAAATTCAAATTAGATCGCTTCCGGCGAACCGATGAAAGCGGCAGATTTGAAAGTTACGAATCTCGTACCCGCGCGTTTAATCGAAACGTTCGAATAATCGTGTTTCTGTAACGATCGAACTACGTAATCGAAACTATCGTTAAAAGATTTTGAGTGACTCGATTATTAATAATTTTATTCGGAAAATATCTCGAAACAAAGAATTTAGAAAGTATCGAGTAGTATATACCTTTCTGCATATTTTACTTCAGCCACGTTATCACTTTGACCCATTTATAACAATGAAGCGTGGAGTAATTGAGGAAATATCGCGAGCAAATTACGATGGGACGGTAAACGTAATAAATATTAAATGGCGTACAGTATGTAACACGAGAAATCATTGAAATTCTTTTAATAAATGTACAGGTTAGAGGCAGTTTCGAATCTAGTTTAGATTAGAATCTTTTTATTTTAGCCAACTGGCCGTAACATTTGAAGCAAGCAAAAAAAAAACGCCAATTTTCCACGAGGCAAGCTTACAACCGTTCCTGCTTCGCTAGGAATACGAACCAGCTTGTCTGTTCATCCGCTTCCTCAATTACTTTCACGCTTAAACCCGTTTCTACGTTAACCGTCTAGCGAGCAATCGGTTCCCACCGATCCGCAATCGCGTCGATAGCGTATCTAAAGCGAAAATATCCCAGGAACCGGAACGAATCGGGTTAAGATCAATGTCGATCTCCCTCTAAACGATTATCAATTTACTCTTTTCCCTCCTACTTGCAATTTCCAGCGATTCAACTCGCGATTCGAAGACGTTAAGAAACGGCCAGCCATTACAATTGCAAACTTAAATGAGATTTTACGCTAATTAATTATAAACGGATTACATAATTTATTTATGAGGTGATTCTTCACTTTCCGCAGCGATTCTTTGCATTATGCCAACTTTGTAGGGTGACTTGGAAAACTTAGAAATAGCGTAGAATTTTGAATGGTAGGCAGGGGATCGAGAAGTAAAGAAACAATTTATCCTTGAACTTCTCCTTCTTCCGTAAGAAGAAAATAGATATGTCCGAGCGTGAACGAACTCCCTGGTGCTTTGATTAGTTTTCATGAAAAATGTATTTATTCGTGAATTTTTACGGCTGTTGAACACACGTTCTAACGCGTACAAGCACCGACTCTCGTTTTTCGTGATCGTTCGAATTCGAGTCAGTCGATATGGACGAGGTTCGTGCTGAAAGTATGCGAAACAGTATACGATACGTCTGCCTCTTACGATATAAGTTTGTTCCCTTTATTTATGCATTACACGCGTTTCGAAATCTTATACGATCGCGTGTAGCCGTAAATATGCAATAGGTTCGCTTTACCCCGCGGACACGGTACCGTTTACGACAAGAGTTATGTTCCTTTTAATAATAAATCCTATTCAGTTGTCTTAAATAGCATAGCATCGCATACGCGATCGCTTCATTTCTACCTAGTTCGTTTAATTACCTTATATTTCAACAAATATATAATGTACCATCGAATCAATAAACGTTTCTTTCGAGAACAGCAAATTCGTGCAGTAAGAACAGAGTAAAAAGTAATTACGAAGTCATGGCGCGGAGAAGGAAAGAAAATAGCCCTTGCAAATTGGTTTTGACTGACGGGCAGTAAAAGATCGAAACCATTCCACATTGAAAGGGTGGAATCAGTGGAAGAAAACGCTAGCTCACGGTGCACCTTTTCTTTCAGCATACAGTGAGTGATGGCCCTGCGTCTGAGGAGCAGCAAGGATGTCAAGAAGAGCTCGTACTACGTTTGGTACCTGGGTGCGAGGGAGGCCAAGGGGGTGGACGCGATGCCCGGTGCCATAGCTTACCTGCTCGAACGAGAACGGCTTCAAGAACCTTTCAAGGTCACGCTACAGGTGAGCACCATCGCCGTACGAAAGATCCGGTTTCGTCTGGCCGAAAATATCGCGGAAAAAAACGGAATTAACCCCTTGATTCTAATTTCGAGAGAAAATTGAACGGAAGAACGCGTTTCCTTTTCAGAAAACGGTCAATTTTAAATCCTCCGAGCGTTAGGGGGTTAATTGTCCTGTAAAGAAAAGGGAGACGCTTCTTTCGTCTCGTTTTGTTGGCCGTCCATCGGACGCCAGTGAAAGCAGTTTGCGGGTCAAATAAAAATCACGAATTTACGACCTCAGCCTACATACCAGGATCACAGTCCTCGCGACTATAATCAGCTTCCTTAAGAACGCTCGTATTTTTCCCGGGGATCCTCTCCGAAAGAGGAAACCTGGGGGTTGGGCCTCGAATTAACGTTTGGCCGATCGTTGCGAGAAGCTGTAAACCAACGCGTAAAATTCGTGATATGCAAATGAGAAGGTTGTTAAGGTGATGGCTAAATTTAACGGGGATTCTTGTTTTTCAAACTTGACCATGCTGGAATTCGTCCTTTCTTTTTTCTTCGCGGAGGGTACAAGAAGATCGCATCGAAGTGGACTGGGTCGTTATCCGAATTTTTATCTTTCTTCCTTCTTTTTCTTTTCCGCAAGACGACCTCTTCGCGATGTCTCAAACTTTCAACGAAAGTTTTAGGAGCTTGACACGAATGACTCCTCGACTCGGATGTAGTCGTTTAAAATTCGCTTCATGTTGGCGCTAGGAAAGTTTCGTTTCCCCCTAGAAACCTAGATTTTGTTGTTACGAAAACGTGCTACGAGCGATCGTTGCATCAGAAAGTTAGAAAATCGTTCTTGGAACGATATCAAACCGATTCCTTTCTAGTTTTAATTCGCGCGAACAACTTTCCATGAACTTAGTAATCGGCAATCACTTCCTTGATTTAATTATTTTCCGGACACATTTTCTTGGAAAGAATCGATGTTTGGTTTTAGAGATCGAACGGGTGGAATCTTTTCAAGTTCATGATGCAACTCGCGTTTGAAACGCTAATAAGCGCGGAGGTGCTGCTTGATTAATTAGATAAGAGCAATAACAGATTCGTTGACCCGAATCTTAAAGAAACGAGCACGCCGCTAATACATCCGGTGTTCGATATGGGAAAGAGAAAATAAACGGATGACACCGAAATTGTTCCGCGACCGTTAACCTGGCATGTTGCTCGACAATCCCGTTGCATGTCAATCGAAATTTGCAGGGAGGGTTGTACCACTTTTTAAAAATTCGTTGTCTCGTCTTCGCGATGACAAATGATATTCAGTGTCATGGCACTAAATCTCGGGAATCACTGCCGCGTGAAAAGATTCTCTAAGGACGAGCAAGCATCGAAGCTTTATCGCGTGGAAAACAAAAGGTGCCGTTATCGCGGCGTCGAATCTTAATGGACACCGATTCTAGTTACATGGACTGCACGCGTGTGTACGTACGGCTGTGTGTGTAATACGTGCGGTCGACGGGCGAATTCGCCGCGGGCGCGTACACGCGTTTTTCAGATAAAAAAGTCAAGAAGCGATTGCGAAATCTCCGCGTGGTCCGCCTAATTGTTGTGTAAGTGTAATTGCACGGTTGCGAAAGACCGCTTGCTCGGTCGCCTTGAGAATATCTCAGCGAGCCGAATTTTCGCGACAGCCTTAATGAACACTCTCGGCGGGATGAAAATTGCCGCTCATTTTCTGCACTCGATTTCGTTGTAACCGCAGATCTCATAACATTCGGGGTGAACTCGGCTTTTACAATTTCCTTGTAAATTCATCTTCCCAAACTTCGATGTCGTTACTAAAATTGTGATCGTAGAGAAAGTTCCATTTTTGTAACACGTCGTTCGCTTTCATAGTTCCGTCGTTATTATTTGCTTTCCAAAAGGAAATTACACTTTTTACGGAGCATTGTCTTCGAGGAAAGTCTTTCCCTTTCGACGATAAGATAGCACGTTTTATCGAAGGTTGTCATTTTATCCGTATCGACGTTTCCGTTGATGATCAGTTTTCACCGATTTTACTGTCATACGCGGACAAGCGTTCACCGGTAATTTCCTCCCCGAGTTCCGTTCAAGTTTAGTAAATTTCAGGGACCATTAAAGTTCATTAAAATGCGTTTCAATAAAGCAGCGAGGCAAACGAAGTAGCACGAACGGTCGATTTGCATTTTAGCACGCAACACTGTTGCGTTTTTCGCAAGCACGCCGGTTATGCGCACGGTGTACAACCACCGTAATTATCGTAGTTAAACCGAGTTAATTAGAGAACGTTCGGTTGATCGTGGTTATTTTACGATTGCGTTAGGTGAGCAGTAAGGGGCTGAAGATTATACAGACGGTTCATCCAGGCGGTTCGACGAGGTCAGCCGTGAAACATCTAGTACCAGGACACGCTGTGCTCGCGGCCGTGCAACGAGAGGACGTCGTTGCCGCTACTCTTCTGCTCCCAAATCCGGCCACCAACAATCCTGTCCACGTACACGTGTACAGGTTAGTGACAATTCTGGTTAAAAAATTCGCTCGTGTCCGGACGATGCTACGGCGGCGATGACAAACGTGTTAACCGGAAGGGCCGTAACGAACACGCGTTCGCACGCTCGTGTGCCATCCGCGTTTATACCTAATTAACGGGTGATTATCGCCGAACTAGCTGCGTCGACGATTTCTCAGATTGTCGTGAGATTATTAGTCGGCCTCGTTAGCGGCATTACCTTTTTCAATGTCGTTCGCTAAACGAAGCTCGAAGGAAGAAGAAGTTGACAACGCCTGTGCAACGCCTAGATCTCAGCCAACATAAAACGCGCACCCGACTCGTTAATTAACTACTTGTACGGGTTCTAACGGCTTGCTAATAACGTTCATAAGTCAATGTTCACGCATGCTAGTCTCATTGGCGCACGATACTCATTGAAACGCATCGGTGCCGCGAGAACAGCCTTGCCATTGAAAACAAAATCGTTACAGTGTTTCCATCTGGCGTTCGAAGGCCCGTGAGAAGCACGTTCGTGTTCTTTTTTCCATCGGTTAGCGATTTTCCATCGCGCAATCGGGCACACGCGAGATTATACAACGTGGCCATTGAATTCATGAATCGGCGGTTTCGATCGAAACCAGGTAAATGGTTCATCGTGACCTTTTTAGAGACACGCTACAGTTCGACGATCGCGATTCCTCCTCGAGTTCACGGGAAATAATAAATAATATGTAATCGTCGATCGTGAGGCGATTATCGTGTTCGATGAAGAAACGTTAAGCCGACTCGTGGGAATCTTCAGACTTTTATAGCTTCGTGCTTATCTGAAATTACGGAATGTCCGATGAAGCGTTCCATAAACTGCATCCACGCGTCTTGTCGGTTAATTACGTTAGATTAACTACAACCGCGACCCGAACAGATCCGTTCTACTTTTTATCGAAAACTTGTCCGACTTGCAGATGCGACTCCGTCGAGACGGCGGAATTGTTGGGCGGCCAGTTGAAAGCACTCGCGTCACACACCGACAATTTGGCCAGGGTCAACTCGTTGGAAGGCAGAGTTCGCAGTAATTTGGGCAGCGACGGTCGAAGTACCAGGGAATCGGAGTCGTCCGAAGGTAGCGGTGAGCTCAGACACGATCCTGTTCAGACGACCACGATATACGAGTCCTTGGCTGCGGAATTGCGGGCTAAGTTAGGTAAATATTTTCTCTCGGAGACGTCTGGTGACGAACAAGAGGGCATAAGGAAAAGCATAAGTGAAAAATACACTCGGCTACGGAGTATAGGACACGTTTGTCGTTCAGGTAGAGGAAATTCAGGGGACAACGACGTTGGTCCGATACTTCTACCACCACGGGATTACGATACCGTCCACAGACACCGTGGTAATCTGGCTGGCATCGAATTCAGACGTTGCCTGAATCAAACGATCGTAGGTGGTAGTACGACGATTGACAGAGGCGGCACGAGAAGCGCTGCCAGCAGTGGAATAGGCTCGGACAGCGCTGCTACGCCCCCGCCTTATCAGAATCATCATCCTTTGGGTCCAAGACCATCCAGACCTTCTAGAGATTCATCCTCCGGTAAGTTGATTGTATTCGAGGCTGATCCTGCACGTTTTATCGTCTTGTTTTTCGCTCGCCTTCGAGGATTTTGCGTGGCGTCGCTCTTCGACGCGTCCAAAGGATTTATTATGCTCGATAATAATTCACGAACTAACGTATCATTTTCTTCCTCTCGTATAATTTCAAGGATTTACATTTCAATTAATCGGGGATCGTGTACTCGTAAACATTCGTAAAAATTTTCAAGCTCGAACTTTCAAACGATATTCGAAGCGAGCGACGATGACTTGAAAATGTATTTAAATCCGATGTCACAATAAAATGCCTCGAAGAGAATGATGTCACGCGCGTCGTCGACTGTGAATTCCGTAACGAAACACCGTGCCGCGTTAAATGGCACGGAGTGTCGATGAATTACGACACCTCGCCGTTGTGCGTGTAACATTGCAGCGATTTGATAGTCATGCTGAGCAAGTGCGAAATTTATTGTGAATGAAAAGCGCGAGTGAATACGGTATTCGCGTGACTGCCGCATCGTTGTATAACACCTTAAATCGCCACTATTTTATTATATTTTTGCTCTTGAAATCTTAATGGAATAGATTTTACACGCGTGCGGGTTCACAACTTTGAGGGAAATCACCGCGTGGCAATTCTGTACATCAGAGTTCAACGCGTCGTGATATAACGCGTGGATACTCGGCGCGTGGCAATTTAATGAGATGGCAAAAAAAATGATGGTATTACGAAGAAGGACGGCGGCGCGTGACCGGCGACTAATTACCAAGTGGAAAGCGTCGTTTTCCTAGGAAATTAGGCGATCCGTTGGAACGGGTCATTACGTTGGTCGCGGAGGCGATTGCACCGGCTGATGCTGCACGAAAGTGAAAGTCCCAGGTTGCTTCTTTTCCTGATCCCACTCAGGAAACGATCCTGCATCCCATAATGGTTCTCCCTCGCGCGGCAGATGAAGCGTGGAACGCATCGTTTCCGCGAAGGAAATTTATCGCGTTGTCGTTGCCTTACAATTTCTCTACAAGGATAAATTACCAGCCGATTGTTAATTGCCTCGCGTACGGATAATCAAAATTCCGCGCCACAACAAAAATTCGAAAGCACTTCGTTCGAAAAATTCGGGAAGAGAAAGAAGAGACTTTCGTTCGGACGCGCGCTCGTGTTTCATTCCCAAAATCGCCACTTTCTCCGCGTGGAACCGTGACGAACGATTCGATCGTCGAAATTCGTCGACGACACGAAATTCGTCGGACGATCAAAGTGAAAGCAGACGCGAGCGAATTCGTTATTAGACGCACGCGTTTGCATTCGTCGCGAGTCAGCCACGCGGAGAAAGAAAAATCGATGAGGTACGAAGACGACAACGAAGATTTTTCGTAGCTCGAGCGAGAAACTGGGTTACCGGGTCGCCATCCGCCCGGTTTTCTACGAGCTCCGATAAGATTCGAGGCGGAACACACGCGGCCACCTGTTCGCCCGGTAGAAAGCGTCCAAATTTTTGTCCTACACTCGCTGTTTCGATCTTCCCAGCCGGTTATTTTCGATTTCACGTTTCCTCCTTCTCTCGTACCTTCCAGAAATTTCGTTTCGTTACGATACGCTATAGCAACCTTTTAATTCTCTATACAAACTTTTGTCGCTTTGATTTAAACGTCGTTGCTGTAAGATTAACGCGGAGAAATTGTACCGGAGAAAAATATAAAGCAACCGCTATGTCGTGTCAAAAATCCAAAGAACATTAATAACGGATCCTGCTTTAAAAAATCTCGGTGAAAAGTAGCTTTAGTCGGTCAGTGGCACATTCGACTAGAAAACATCGCCAGCTGAAAAATTATATGTATGTTCGCGCTGCCGTCGTAAATTCGCTGAACGATTCTCTGTTGCGATTTAATTGCATCGGACAAAGAAAGATCGTATTCTACTTATTGTTTTAGGAGTTTGGAAAATGTACCTAAAGTTCCTTAGAACTAGCTTAAAAATCTGTAGTACCGAGGGAACCTCGATGACCTCCGGTATTCAAAGTACATATCTCGCGAACTGTATAAATCAGGATACTTCAGATACCCCACGTGCTTCAACCGATAAACGGCTTACCCGTATAGTAACTAAATGAACACGTAACTAAAGTAGCATACTAACGCTACTGACCATGAAGAATGTACACCGTATCGCTTAAGAGTTGCTCGATGCATTATCGATGGAAAAATTAGCCGAAGGTCGCGAGTCAGTGCACATCGGTTAAACGATACCAAACTCGTGGTGGTCAATCTGTATGTATGTACCCGTAGGCCGGTACCTGCTGCTGACACGACGTCCTAACGGTATTCTTTCCACTGTAACAGGTGTCCAATACAATCTCTCGTGCACGTAGTTAACACGAAGAGGCCAGGGCCGAACCGAGATACGAGCGAATACCTTTTGACTCGTCTTTTTTCCCTCTTCTCGAAATTTATTCGTTTATACGCTATATGGGTCAGTCGTCCGTTAAAAACGTGTTTCTCGAGAGGAAACCGTGTATCGAGGAGACGCGAGCTGACTTTGAAGTTCCGATCCAGTGACGTGGTCAGCCCCTTTGCAAATCAGGTATTTTGGAGCACGAAAGTGGGCCGCGTATGATTTATCGGACAAACGTATGAAATAATCTAGCGCGAGTACACGGACGATTAAGTCTTGCTTATCTAAAATATTCGAAGAACAGTTATCATGGTAATAGACTGAAATCTAAAATTACACTTTGCCTGCAACACGAGAAACTATAAATTGCTGCGAGTTAAACTAGACACGAAATGTCATATAAGAATTTCAAACAGCAAAAATGATGCATGATGTTGCACATATATGACCCACAAACATCATTCTCGATTATCATGAATGAATACGTTTGTATCGCTCGAACGTTTTCAAGAATATCGAGTTTATCCTAGAAATCTGCTGCTCTACTCTAACGACTATTCATCCTCTATTCTAATTTACGATGGTCATTCGAAGAAGACAACCAGATAACGTCGAAAAGAAAATGTATCGGCCAACGCAAGCATGCAAACTCCGAAGAATGTATGAAACGTTTAACGAGGAAAATATGTTGAATCGATATCTCGTGTTCCAACGACAACCCCCCGCGAGAGGACGCCGCAGCGAGGAGAAAACGTTGGAAGCACTCGGTGACGGGGTCGCCGGCTTCTCCTGTAAAATCACGGGCACTGGTCGTTATATCATTCGTCTTTTACGGGCCAGGAAGAACCCGTTTTGCAACAGGTGTCTCGGGGACACGGCACGATCACGATTTCCACGTTCGTGTCTCCATATAAGCGCCTCTTCTCCCGTCTCCGTTGATCGCCGCGCGAGTCGCGATCTCTGGCACACTTTGCCTGCTCACGATTTGCCTGTGTATCGATACCCGCTCCGTAAAACTAACCCGCGAGCTTCCCAGATTCCGTACAGCGATTAGCCTCGTGACGATTAATTTATCGCCGCGTTGAATAGCCGCTTTAACACGGACGTTTTACCACGTTCTCGTTGGCTTCTGGCACGATCTGTACTGGTCGTCTTGAGTGTTCCTTTATAAGACTAACCCTTTCGCTCGAGATCACGTGGGTGTACACGATGTTTGTTGCAAAAGGCGCGTTTGTACGCAACGACGAGTAATAGGATGTATATTTCCACCGAGGGGATTAAGCGACTGCCAGGGTGGTCGCTGCCGATGACAATCCGACCCCGACGCGAGGCACTTGGAACCATACGACTTGCGATTCCCGATTCGTTAAGCCGACAAAATCGAACCCGTTTGCGATTCAATACTACGCCACTCGTTTCGGCGCATATCAATTCAACGATCCGATTCGGGACGCATCAATTTGACGCGATCCGATTAGACACGATCCAATGCGGCGCGTATCAATTCGCCGCGA